CGCAATTTACTGTTTTTTCTCCAAACCCCTCTTTTAGAGCCCTTTCCTTCCGAGTTGAGAGAGACGGCCTCAACAAACGAGCTGATGTGAAGCGGAAGCATTGCAAAACGCCTCTCCGCTTGTTGAGAATGGCACTCTCTTGGATCGGGTTGGCCGAAGAACTGGTACTTCTTGGTCAAGAAGCCCCCGCCGAGCGCTTCTTGAAGGCCGCCCATCTCATCCTGCCCTCAACCAGCCTGACTGAGGTCACTGCCGCGCACTACAACGCCAAAGATATTTGTACCCTCATAGTGTCTATCCATTCACTGTTTGCCCATTTATGTCCATCTAGCCATCCTGCATAATATTATTTGCATAAGAGACACACTTAGAAGCTGCGACCAGCTGGGCTAGCTGTACCAATACGCACTACTAGTAGGGCTTGCAGTAGTATAATTTGATATCGGCTAGTTTTTCATCCCCACAGCTGTTTACTTCTTTCAAACTTTGTGAATCCCCCGGTGTCAGGCTGTCCTGACACTTTGCAAATGCAACTAGTCACTTATTGAATTGATGCCAACATTATGTTATGCCGAATATAAAAATAGTATTCGTATTGGAGTAGGGTTTCGATACTACCAGTATTCACCCTATTTCGTCTAAGGTGTTGATAAGACCGATGCGAGATCGAAACTGCAGTCCATCTCAGCTGGGATGAGAACAACTTTTGGGAAGGCAAGGCTATGTGAAATTCAAGGGAAACGTCAACTCAACTCATATTATTTTGGGAAAATTCTTCTACCAGTCCTTCATCACCTTACACGAAATAGGGTGAATACATCTCATTATAAAAATAGTATTCCAGTTTTGAGGTACAAGTGAAGATGAGATTTGAGCTATTAAATGAGTATATCTTACTTTTACATTGAATTTTATTCCGTAATTTTAGTCTTATTACCACTTGACTGCGATATGAGCTTATATCAAGCCTGCCGAGTAGTACTCACTTTTAATCGAAGGTATGAAGAGCAAGATGGTGTGACCTTTTGTGTGGTCGCAGTCGTTGTTTTACGAAGTTTTTTGACCTTGTTTTCGCAACCCGGTCATTTTGGTAGGAAGACTTAGACCACAACATCTTGGTCTTCATACCTCCGATTAAACTATGTGTTTTGTCGAAGGTCTGCAGACCAAGATGATGTGGCCTCTTGTGTGGTCGCAGTCTCCTTTCGTTATTTTACGAAGTTGTTTGACCTTGTTTCGCAACTTGGTCATGTTCACGTTTACCCATCCAATCAGCCTACCCTTAAAAGCCGACCTTTCTGGTCTCTCTTTGTCTTGGAGACGCCTTCACCAAACACTTTTTTGTAAATTTTGTCAAATAACAAGAGCTCTATTCAGCCTAGCTTGCATACATTGATGACTATGTCCTGCCTCATCGTGGAGAAATTGCACCATCACCGCCGCCTCACCTGAAGGGGACCTCGGCTGAGTACCAGCCCCATTGAAGATTCCCTACCAGACTCGAGTCCCGTTTAATGTGAGGATTTGTTCAAGAATGCCTTGAATGCCTTCACACCGTGCACTTTCTGCCACGATGATGGCTCAATGAGGTAGCAAAGAGGGGCGCCGCCTCGGGCGCGAGACGAACTTGTCTCGCTTGACGCTGAAGGCCAGACGCGACTCGGTTGCACGCCCATCCACGGTCTGTTGACTTCAAGTCGTCAGGGCAACCGACGAATGTGTACATTTGTCCGAATGGTGAATTGCAAAGTGAAATGATGCTCTCATTTTTCTGTTGACAGGCGGCGACTCGCGAGACCGATTGCGCTGAGGCTTCGCGGCTCATGTTTAGAGCCCACGCGCTGCAGGCCAAGATGGCCCTTTTGGCCGGCCGCTTTGAGGAGGCGCAGGCGTTGGCAGA